ATGTGATTTACTCAATGCAAGTTTTTCTTGCATTATGGTATCCTTGAGTGAAAATTTTTATGGGTTAAAATTCATTAACTGGAAAACGTATAGTTGTAATGCATGTAAATATTTTTTGTTTTTTTGAATCGCAACAAGGTCATATTTTTTGACTGCAATTAATCATAATAGTTTAACAAACTATGAGTGATATATTCCTTTTATGAATAAAAACTTTGAAAATACTCCTATGATTGACTAAAAAATTATTTCATTTGATTGAAACGGAATGAATACACTGGATAAGCCAAAAGTAAAGAAACACCGAATTCTTTTGAACTTTTCTTCTTTATAGATCGATAATCACATTTCATATTTGGATTATATATTGTAGATGATCATACTCAAAGAAAAAGTCTATCATCAGTCTTTGGTAATAAGAATTTGTCAAAAAACATATGAATGTCATATAAGCTCATTGCTGTCTTATTGAAGTCAATGTCTTGTTTTATTTTTGAGTAGTTTTCTGCTCAACAAGTATAAAATAATGTAAAGATCAATAGATTTTACATTATCAAGTAGATTTTGATGGAAACAGACCAAAAAGTAGAAATAAAACACTAGAAACTTTTTTTGACAGTTATATAAAAGTATATGAGAGACTTTCGAATGTTTTTCAACAAAATTTTTCAGTTAAAAGCTGATAAGAGGCTATTCGTCTGAGTATTGTCATGTAGTATACGTGATGCAGATGTGACATCTTACTATTGATCTATAAAAACACCAAGTGAAAAAAAAATCCGATGTTTTCTCTGTTTTGATTCATTCTGTACTACCTCAAAGTAAATTCTGAAGAGTGTTCACGGACAGCAATATATAATTGCATTTTCTATTAATTGATCTAATTTCGATTGCTTCATTCGAAGAGATTTCGTACTAATTTGTATAAATTATGTTGTCAAAAGTAATTATAAAACATATATATCATTTTTGCTACTATGAAACTAAGAAGATTAACTGGTTAGATGTTACACAAAACAAATGACCTCATTTTTTTGCATAGATGTAGTATCTGTAACTACTTTATGTTCATTAAGTGACGTACATTAATCATTCATAACATAATCATAATTTACATTTGAAGCCAACCAATGTCAAACTCACGTCAGACTTTAGATGTATGATTTTTCTTGATTTGTTTCTAGAGGCTAAAAGGAATATCTTTGTTGGTAATTAGCTATATTAACTATCTCTTTGACGACATCCTTCCAGCTACAAATGTCTAGTCCATTATTTGCTTGATTGGGAAGCTCTTTTTGGTTAATACTAAAATAGTTTTGTTTGTTTGCTTTTCGCTTCAACATCTTCTCGTCGCTTTTATTTGTACCATTGATATATTAAATCTTCGTTCATAGTACAAATAGTTTATGTAAAGAGGATATAATAAACTAAAACCAATTTCTGTGACTCACGGTAACGTGAGCGTGACTACAAAAGCTTGGTAACATTGGTCACTTATCTTAAATCACACAGTCTTGCGTATTGCATACTTCATGGCGTTTCTCATTAACAAGAAGTTTACAAATAATCGAATTTGTTCTTATTAGGAGCACACTTTCTAATAAGAACAGCAAGCGATGAATAACCGGAAAACTAAAAACCAAATCACTAAACCAGTCAACTTCGTAACTTGAATTTCAAACTGTCGATAGACTTCTGAAACGAAGTATGTTGCCAATTAATTAAGGAATATTTACCTCCAGATTCAGCTTTTCAGCACTTATAATAAATTTTCAGCGGATCAAGGCGAACAGAGTTTTCTTTTTTTTTTATCAAAATAAATTTGAAAATTTTGTATTACAGTTGAACAAAATGTTAGTTGAACGATGGAAACTTAATGGTGAATTCATATCAATTAAGAACAATGAAGTTTAGTGCCGTACGTACAATTCTTTTTTTAACAATTGAGCTCTTTTTGCTATAAAACTGAATTTACGAAGGTGTAATTAGTGTCGCAAATAATTGAATGGTCGAGAGTATTGATTAAAAACGATACTCGTAATTGAAAATCAAATAAATTTGATATAATGTTACATAATAAAGAATAAGTATATGATATTGAGATTCGCGAACACTTCTATGTGTAACGAATGTACGTATATGTTGAAAATGAAAAAAAAAACAAGGAAAATAGTATTTTGAAAGTGATAACTTATACTATGTTCCTACCATGTACAAATAAACTGAACAGTTTTTTCTCTGATGAGTCCAAAAGAAAAAGAGCGAGAAGAAGAAAACCATTTGGTATCAATGTATTAAGAATTACATATTGACCAAAGATGAACTATATAAGAGTTTGTTAGAAAATACAAAATTAATTAGTTTCATAAAGTTTTAAAACATAAAATAAAATAAGAACTAAATAAAAGAATTTTGTTCGATCAAAATAAAGGAGAAGAAAAAAGTCTAATGAGAAAAAACAAAGAAAACATAATAATGATAGTTGAGTTGAAATTTCTCAATACAAACGTAGATGTATGTTGGTGTATTATTGATAGAGATTGTCATCGTTGTGGATTTAACAGAATAAACTAATTTTATTCTGATGAAAAGCAATATTGGTAGAAGATAATATTGCAAGAGTAATAGGTGTTGCTACTGTCTTTTCGGTGGAACAGAATATTGATTCTTTTTCTTTTTTTTTATTGAAGTACGTGGGCTACATTAAAAGCTAGAATTACCAATATAATAAGATTTTAAATCATTCATCACTTTATGCTGTATCATATATGTCATACTTGAAAGTTGAACTCAATTCACAAAATTTGAAACTTGAACAGTTCAATTTCAACCCTCAAGTTTCAAATTTCTTCGATACGAGTCATGCGAAAGTACGTGCATACTAAGATAAAATGTGAAGCATGTGACGTACTCTACGACACAATGTACGGCACATTAAAGTACGACACGAGGTGCTCGTGGTGATACATTCTTCTGCGACACGTGCGATGCATTTTGAAAACGTAGTCTATCCTTCAGTACACGAATTAGTTTTTTTTTAAGATTCGAAAACTTAATATTTTTCAGTTTAATTCGTATTAGTAACACCTATTATTCGAGTTTAAGACTATAAGATCATACGATCTAGCCATCTCTAGTTGTTCTGACCTCGATTTTCGACTGATCTCTCAATATGTTCTCGATCAATGGCTTATCAAGAAATAATCTAATAAAAATCACACAATAGAAACTGTATAAGTTTAGTATGTTCAAAAATGTCAGTTGTATATAACTGTACGCATGAAACAAAAGAGTAAACGAATAGTTAGCAGACAGATTACGGCACATTCTGACTACGATGCATTTTCGTAGTTGTATGGGATACTATCGGGAGCGATATATTTTATTTTATTGTACAAACTACATCTCTCTTGATGTTAGTACCACAGCAACATAGACAATTGAAATTATTGTAATGTTAAAGATATTTACAACGATCAAATATAGAGATCAAACTGTCAGATTTAAAGATATCAAAGATTGTTTCAAAAAAATCTTCGCTATTGTTATCTTTCATTAGTCTAATCGTTGTATACCAGCGTTGCAAAGTTTAGGTTTTTTTTGTTTTACTGATCATTGACTTTGATTCTTCATTAAATGCTCAAATCACATATATCTTGACTGATTCAGAATTATTAACTGCTTCGACAGTCTAAGAGCAGCTTTCCTGTGCTGTCTTACTTTAATCTATTTGTCATTAAAAAAATAGAACGAAATCAATGCATATATTTTACATTTGATCAAATAAAAAAAAGAACAATCAATTTTATTGCAGTAATTTCGTCTCACAACAACGTGTAAGCAAGTAGATGTGTGAAATGTCTGTTTATTAATATTAATAAGCAGAACACAGTGACTATCAAAAATAATACAGTAACCATAATACATCGTAAACATTTCGAAATCGTATAACGAAAATACACAATTATTAAAGCCTACAAACTGTCATAAAATAGAAAAAGAATGAAAACTCGACTTGCAAATAAAGCCAAATATTTAGACCATCAGTTATTAGCTTCGAAAAACAAAAAAAACTGGTTTTATTCTTGAGAATATAATTCTTTTTCTTTGAAATAATATGAACTTAATCTTTTTGACGTCCATGAAAAAATTTCTTTTCATATAAGATTGTCTAAGAGTCAGTGAAAATCTTGATTTGATTCAATATGCAACCTAGAGTAACTTTAAACTCAACAACAACATTACATCATTGCGAAAAATCGACGAATAAAAAAAAAAGGTGTTTTTTCAGCTGGTTTATAATATTGCCAAGGACGATGGGAACTAATACAGATTTTAATATCATTTTTGATAATATCTCGAGTTTTTGTTTTTCATTTATTATTCGATCGATAAAGGCGTCAATTTAACAGAATAAAATAAAGTATGTATGCGTGTATATATACCAACCAAACAATCACAACAAAAACAAAAAACAACAACAAAAGAATATGTTCTTTTTTTTCCGGAAGAGATAAGAAACATTGATTAGTATGTGCCAAAAAAAGAAAATAATGGTATAGTAGAAATCTGATGTTTGAGATAAAATACAGTAGAATAAAAGAAGAATCGTATGAAAATGTGATATGCAGTGTTATTGATAACTCTACGATTTTGATTGATGTTGATAAATAATAAACAATTAATTATAGTTTTTTTTTTCTGTATCCAATAGAAAAGAAAACGCAGATCAAATAAATAGGAAAATGATGTTCAATTTTAGGCTTTGTTTTTTTTTCTACATTCTCACTGCACAAACAACAGCGTTAACAAGGAAAAAAAGAAGCTAAAGATAAACGAAATAGAATCTAAGTGCAGCACACTGTTCTATTTAAAAAAAAGAAAAAGAAAACGGGAAAAAGGCAAGACATCGTCAATGTATAATATGTATAGATATCTATTGCATGAGTTGAAAAAAAAAAGAAACACCAACAAAATGGAAAAAAAAAAGATAATACGTATTATTTCGTTTCTAATTCATCTTTTGAAAGTACTTCAAAATCTTCATCAGATAATTTTTGTGGTTTATTTCCATCGTCAGCTTCATCTAATGAACTTGATCGACTTGTTTTTTCTTTATCATCATCATCTTGTTCACTTTCCGTATGACCAACAATAATAGATTCATTTGTAGTTTTATTTTCTTCATTAACATCTTCTTTTTTATTTGTTGTTTCTTGCTCATTATTTTGTTTTTTTTCTTCATCAGTTTTGGTTGATGTTTTCTTTGTTGTTACATCAAGTATATATAATGGAATAAATGATTCAATAAATCCAACATCTTCCGTTAAATTAGGTAATAACCAAAATTTAATTTTGCCCATTGTAAGAAGCCAAACACCGGCAAATATAATATATTTAATTACAGCCAATGATAATAATAAACCAAGTAAACTAGCAAGTACCATTGATAAATAATAAACTCCAGTACGTACTTCAGCTGGCCATAATGGAAAAAGACAAACAGCAATACAACCAATAACAAGTAAACCACCCATTATATATTGTTTAATTGTTGTTGGTGAATAAATCCAAACATAAAATTCATTTGTTGAATCAATAAATGTTTGTTCATCATGTAATTCAAATTTAAATTTTTTCTTTTTTGTTTTATCTTTTTCTTTTGAATCATCATCTTTTGTTGTTGTTGACGATTCAACTGTTGTAGTTGACTTTGGTTTACGTTGTCGTACAGCACGTGGCGTATTCGATTGTGATGTATCACCGGCAACATTCGATGATGTTTGATCAGATGAAGATTTTTCTTCTTTATAAACTTTAATAACTCGACGAAACATTTCATTATCCAAAAATTTACGAAGCATCTATTTTTAGAAAGAAAAAAAAACAAAAGACGAAATTATCAAATTTTAAAGAACAACCTATAATTATACCTGTACAGCATCATGTTTTGATGAAAAGCAAATAGGGTGTTTACTATCCTTAGTTGTTTCACCAGCTAATGCTTTGGCAGTTATTGATGACCATTTCGATTCAGTTAGACATTCAACTGCTTTTGTTCCATTAAAATAAACAACTTGCATACCCATTAAAATTCCTTTTTTAGTTGGGCATTGAAAACGAAGATATTTAGCAATAGACTTTTCAATAGGTGTTAATTCAGGTGCATCATCAGTAGATCGACGACGTCGGGATTTTTTTCGATTGTCCGACATTGATTAAATTTAAATGTAAAGGATCTAAATAAAAATAGAAATGAATATAAATATATATATGTATATAAATATATATATATATGTATATATGTATAGATTACAAATGAATATCTTGAATAGAAAGAGGGTGGAGTAGTAGTATTAGAAAAGAATAGAGGAAAGAAAAAGACGGACAGTTGAATTCATATTGAAAATCACACTTTGATGTAATTTGTTGTTCAATATGTACACACAAACTCTTTTTAATACAAAGGACGCGTTTGACAGGTGTTATATAATATGAATTCCCACCTCTTGAATATATCAATCAATGTGAGAAGTGGGTTCAACTATAATATGCCTTATATTTGTTGAATAATAGTACTTGATATGTCTACATTACTATACCTTGAGTGGGTGGAGATTGTCAAAAAGGAAAAAAAGAATAGAATTATATATATTTATATGTGTTATATTAAGTAGTTAAATAATTATCTAAAATAAGATTGATTTTAAGTTTTTTTTAAAGAAACTTATATGCACATATCGATATTAATGTATTAGGTATAAACGTGGGTGTAGCTCGTGCCTCGCATTTGTAAATGACTCAGATTGAAACGTTGGACGAACAGGAGATGAGTTGGATGTGGACTAGTTATACATGTGGCACCATCTAAAATAATCAAAGTCAATAAAAAGATAGAAATTTAGTAAGTTTTTTTCTTAGATTTCATATTATTAATGATAATTAGTTCGAAAATTTATAAGCAAAAGATTATGTAAAGTCCTCTCTATTGAGATTTGATCTGAATGGATTCTACATTCGACCATTGATAAGACTCCTATCGTTTTTAGTGTCTAAAAAAAACATAGAAAAAACTAAATTTTTTTAAATATTTTTCTTTTAAAAAATGTCTCTTTTGACATAATCATGAATTTTATCCCAATGAACAACGTTACCAACTACCTAATTTACATGAATATACAATAGTACTATACGCACATTTATTGTGTCATAATTTATGATATATTTTGAGTTATCATCTGAAAGAACGACAAGAAAAATATCTTTGTAAAAATAGTCGTTATTAGTTTAGTCTTAACAACTTAGTAATCTATCACTTTTGTTTTTGTTCGATATCAATTGTTGAATAATATTGAAGAAAGTGAGATTGAGTAATATCTTGAACGTTTTATTCGAACGATAATTAGTATGATAATGATGATGAATTCATACAAATATTTCAACATGAATTTATTTGTTTTAAATGTAATGAATGAGAGTAAAAGTTAAAGCATTCATTGTTTAATATTATCTAATATGAGCAACGAGATTCAAAAAGAAAACTCTTCAAAATTAGAAAAGAGATTTACGAGATAAATTTTATTGTTGTAAAATAAATACATGAAATAAAAGAAAATCAAACCAAAGTTTATGATCTTAAGAAGGAAACGAAATGGAATGAAAAGTAAAAAAAAATAATGAAAATTTAGATGTTTTGACATTTTTATTATTGACAAATATTTTAAAATCAACTAACTGATTTTAATAGATCAATATAAACTACAATTCCAATCATTTGTTATCTTTTTTGTTTTGTTCTTGTATATCTATGTCTACACAAGAAACAATTCATTTTCATCATTTTTATTCTAGATGACTAAATATGTACGTAATCATTCATTATCTAATGATGAAATACAACGTTATTCACGTCAATTAATACTTTCTGAATTTGGTGTTCATGCTCAAGAACATTTAAAAAATTCTTCAGCATTAATTATTGGTTGTGGAGGTTTAGGTTCTCCAGCTGCACTTTATTTAGCATCATCTGGTCTCAATCGTCTTGGTTTAGTTGATCATGATAATGTTGATATATCAAATCTTCATCGACAAATAATTCATCGTGAAACAACAATAGGTAAAACAAAAGTTGATTCAGCACAATTAACATGTTCACAAATTAATTCATCATTAAAAATTGATAAATATAATCAATTATTAACACATGAAAATATTATGGATATTGTTAAACAATATGATGTTATATTAGATTGTACAGATAATGTTATAACACGTTATTTAATCAATGATGCATGTGTTCTTTGTCAAAAACCACTTGTATCAGCAAGTGTTATTCGTTTTGAAGGACAATTAACTGTATGGAATTATATTGAAAAAAATGGACCATGTTATCGTTGTTTATATCCACAAGCACCACCAGCTGAAACTGTTTCAACATGTTCTGATGTTGGTGTACTTGGTCCAATTTGTGGAACATTAGGAAGTTTACAAGCACTTGAAGCTATTAAAATTTTAACAAAAATTGGTGATGTACTTGCAAATCGAATGCTTCTTATTGATGGTTTATCAATGAGTTTTCGAACAATTAAATTACGTAATCGACAATCAACATGTGCTGTATGTGGAACAAATCCAACTATTATTCATCAACCAGCTCCTCCTCCATTTAATCAATGTAATAATGATCAACCTTGTCGAAAAAGCTTATTAAATCAAAATGAACGTATAACAGCTCATGATTTAGCAAAATCAAATTTATCATCATTTATTATTGATGTTAGGCCAGAACATGAACTTAATATTGGTCAATTTGAAAATTCATTTCATTTACCTATGGATCGTTTATTATACAATGATAATGATGAACAATTACGTAATGAACTAAAATTAAATATTGAAAAAAATCAACAAATTGTTATTGTTTGTCGTCGTGGAAATGATTCACAATTAGCTGTAAGACGATTAAAAGAATTGTTAGCTGATGTTGATAATATAGATGAAAAAATAAAAGATCTCGAAGGTGGTTTTCAAGCATGGCATACAGATGTTGATTCAACATTTCCATTATATTAAGAAGAAAATAAGAAATCTATTTTTGTTTCTATTGTTTTGTTTTTTCATGATCTTTTATTTTTTATTATCAAAGAATAGAAGAATTTGTACAATTTTTATTCGAATTATTCAAGTCTTTGATGACGGTAATATTAATCAACAACGAACGAAAAACTAGAATGAGGTTAAAAACAATGGCTATCAAATAGAACAAAAACAATGTGATGTTTTAGATGTATAAATTCTGTAAATGGATTAGGTTGAACATTGTCATTTTGCAAATTGATCTCATAATCATAATTATCAAAATCTATCGTTTAGTGATTTCAATTCCAACTACAGATAGAATCAACTGATGGAACAGACATGTTGTTGAATTAGAAAATGTAGTGAGCAATGATTTTGCTAACTTGAGTGCATATTATACCTAAATATGTTGACGCTTCCCGTGATAGACATCAACTAAGGGTTAAGTCTTTTTTTTTTGTGGGCCAAGAAAAATAGTTTCATTGTTCTTTAAACTGTTTCTAAGTACTTATCTCAAAGAAAATAATCTATAAGTACCAGTTCATGTTTTCATCATGAAAGGAAGACAAAAATCAGCATTCTTTTTCGTGTACGTTTGAGAAAAATGAGGATTCTGTTGATTACACAGGTGGGCACAGAATAAGAGGAAAATCTCATTTTAGTTATCTCTAACTGTGCATGACAGAGTAGTACAAGATGTTTCATAAGTCTTGAGACGCGACAATATTAACTTATATGCAGACAGAGAATCAGATCTCGCCGAATGTGTTTATATGAGCCTTGAGTACTCGTGTCAATCTTTCAAATGAAATGTTATTAATTAATATCCTGTAATAATAATAAAAACATAACCATGAAAATGTGAAAATAAATTTTTCATAATTAATCAACAAAGTATCTTATTACTAAAAAAAAAGAAACATTCTATTTTATACATACATCAGCAAACGTCGCGTTATTTTCTTGAGATTAACCTTAATTCTTAATAAATCATCAACAGTTCAAAAGACATTCTGTGTTCATTGTATTTCGTTTTGTGTCTGACATTTTCATATATTTATCCATTTCAATTCGATTACTGAAAATATAATCAGTAGATCGTGATACGTGCGAAATACGTGAATAAGATAAATAATTGTTGATTTATTTTGAAATTTTTAAGGGCAATATCTTCATAATAAATGATAAGATAAGAGTGTGGGTGTGGGCAGGGACGTAACTAGAAGGGAGATAAAAATCGCGCATTCGACTACGTAATATTTGAACTACATCGACATAAACGCCGTAAATGACATCTTTGTTCGAATATTACGTGGCCAAGTACGCCCCTCGTCCCCGTAGTTACACCCCTGGGTGTGGATATGAATGTGAGTTCGGGTCTTCTAATTTGCAACTGCCGCACTCCACCCACACCCTATTTTTGGATTTCCAGTTAAGTTGAACAAAAACGCTGGTAATTTTGAAAGAACTTTATATTTTAAAGCTTGAAAAATCAGAAACATCAGTTAACTTGGTTCAGCATGTAGTCCAATTTTTTACTTTTAGCCTGCTCTGTAGGCATCCTCAGTCAGACTTGACTAGGCCGGAAAAAACGCCACCTGTTGGCAGTTCTGCTTCAGTCTTCATCGATGTTTAGCTTAGAATTCTGAAAATCAGGCATATTTCCGATTCAATATATATTTATTTAAGTTCCTTATATATTTTTTAATTAATTTAATAGCAAAGGAAAGACCTTATATCACATTGAAGGTATCACTCCTTCAGAGGTCTTCTATTATGAAGGAGCTTTCCGATACGGAGAATCTTCAATTATCGCGGCAGCGAGTTTGAATGACAATCGTTTGGAATAAGAAGAACGAGTTCAAATAAAAATGACATAGTTTCAGTTAACTTTAGTGGAATTTGAAAAAATTTCTTTTTCGATTCGATTCGGTTTAGCTTGAATTAAAAAAAACTCGAACTGAGTCCATCTCTGATTGAAACTTACTTGCACTTTGGTTTTGGACAACAGAAAAAAGAAAACGTTTTACTGAATTATAACTAATAAGTGAGATTGAACGTTACTTTCAGGTAAATTTAGAAAAAAAGAAAATATTATAGTGAACTATAAGATATAATTCAGATTAGAAGAACCTTT